AATAAATCCAAGTTCCCCTTTTTGCACTTTGCTTGGAAAGTTTTGCAAAAAAAAAAAAATTCCGGCACTTTTATTATAATTCCCTTTTTGTGTAAAGGAAAGGAGAAATCCAATCTAACACTCGAGAGGTGAGAAGCCAGTTCACTAACGCTTACACGTAACTGATTCCCAATAGCCTGCGCAGTGCAGTTTCTTTGCATTCCTACAACCTTCTGCGTACCATCACTTCTTAAGCTTCGCAAACAAAAAAGAAAATGACGAAAAATTACACAAAAAAAACTGTTTACTTTGTCTTATGCTTTATTTTAAAATTTGATGATTGTAATTTTCTATTCTATATTACACGGTATCATATCATACAATGCAGATGTAGAATTAGAACCAGCTAGTCGCCCGTGCATAAAAACATCTATTCAAACTATTTCAAAAAACTTTGTCATCGAAAAAAGCGATAGACAATAACAAAAAGCGATAGGAGATAGGTCATTCAAAGAACCAAGAATAGCTGGAATGACTTGTTTCTGCTTCTTATTCTCGTCAAGAGTATGGACCTTCGTGCTGAGACTGATTCGATGTTCTTTGTATTCAAAGAAACCATTTCCATGTCGGAATGACCTATCGCCTATCGCGATGCAAACTTTTATTGGAATAGGTGTATAATCTATAATCTAATAAAATATAAATATGTAAAAACATATGAATCAAAATCCAGAATTGAAATGAAAACTTTTTTTAGAGAGGGTGATACGTGACTATTGCTAAGTTAGCACATATGAACGTGTTGCCCTCTGTGTTTAACGTCTCCAGTAATTGAGACAGGACCGCCATTTTGTGGTATCCGGGCATACTATGTGATGTGCGGTCACCCTTAGGGGCGAGGTCAAAACAACGGTCCAAAATAGGGACCCGATTTTATGGTGGTGGGTACCGGTACATACCCCCTCCCCCCTCAGAGACCTGTTCAAATGCTCGATACTGTGAGTCTGTAGTGGCAATTTTTTGTTCTCGATAAAAAGAAATCTTTGATTCTAAAAATCACTCCTAAAAACTAAAATAAAAGATAAAAATACCCATAAAAATTAAAATGCACTGCGTGCTCTTGACTAAACCTTTGTTGGTTTTTAATTTTTTCGTAAAAAAATATCATTGCTATAAATTTAACAAAACGTTTCGACCTTCGGTCTTCATCACTAAAAATAAAATTAAAAATATGTACGGCGTGGAACTGAGTATGAGACAAATGTCTAAAGTTTAAAAACTCTGCATGGGGTAGGGGCAATTAGTATATGTAATAGGACTCCATGCTTGGACAAGGAAAATTCAGAGGACTTCTAAAATTGGACAAGGCCGTATGCCGAGTCCAATTTGGCAGTCGGAGGAATTTTTCGAGTCTAATTATTTCTTGATTGGGGAGCATGAAATCCAATTACCTATTAATTATATAGCTGCCTAATAAATCCCATATCAACAAGACCTGTCCAATTAAGAAAATAATTGGACAGTCACCTATATGGGATTAATGAGAAGCTGTATGATTAGTGTAGATTATTATAATAGTGAATGATGGCATTTCTAAACTGCTAAAAAATACTAAGAACTGAAGAATTGATTCTAAGAATTGATTCTACTTTTAGTCATAAATGTTTGGATTATAAACTATAAGTGAGCTTTCACAACATCTTTTCTTCCAATAAATTCACCTGTAACGTGAACCCCTAGCCTTCTTAGGAGGCCGAGTAGAATGTGCAAGTCCGTTAACGTGCCGGAACTTGCCTCTTAGATTCAGGCCGTGCTTTTGGTCCTTTTTTCCTGCGGCAGGCACAACCCTTGAACCATCTTGACCATCTGCAGAGCTTGTCCTGTAAGATAATAGTGTCATGACGTAAGTTATATGGTATCAACAACAAGGCTTGAAGCAAAGCAAAATAAGCGTTTAGTTTCAATTAAAAGCATATCCGCCAGACGTCAGTTTTGGTTTCGAACCAATTAATTTTTTAAAATATTAACTTACTGCAGCAAAACTTTGGAAGTTTCCCATTGTTGTTTTAGCTCCTTTATAATATCGACCATTCCCTCGTTCAGCTTTTTCTCCTCTTTCAAATAATTTGTAGCTTCTTGAATCTTTTTACTGGTAAGGTCAGGATGAGCAATGCCGACTCTCGCTTGATTAAGGTTTTTAAGGCTATCCACCAAACTTTGATCCCAAGAAATTTTTYCCTTCAATTCGTCCAGCCGCTCTCTTGCTGACTCTTGGTCGGTCTGATGTTCCAGATTTTCGATGTATTTGTCGATATCTTTAAACTTGTAGTAAGAGTTTTCATTGAAGTTTCCTCGCAGGACGTACTTGCACAAGTTTCTCTGTGTGGATGTGCTAATTTGCCCAATAATTAACATACTGTTTTCTTGATTTTTGGTCTTTTCTAGCTCCTGAATTTTCACTTGCATTTCTCGCAGTTGTTTAACCAACCTTTCATTCTCATCCTTCAGTTCTTGTATTTCATTTTCTAAAGATCTGATCTTTTCTTCAAGGCTGGTTTCATTGCTGCGACTTTCTCTTAACTCTTCTTCCAAAGATGATATCCTTTCCTTATTGCTGCGCAAGCTAAGTCTTAAATCTTCCGTCAAAGATGCTATCCTTTCCATGGAATTTTGATTTTGGGCCATCGTCACAAGATTCAAGTTCTGAAAATAGTATATGATATTATGATAAAACAGCGATATATTGTCCACGGGATTTATATAGGTACATATATAAACAAGACTTTCTGTTTTTACAAATTCGTAAATTTTGTAGACTCTTGTAGTGTCCTCGGAAACTTGCCATTTTACGGCACCCCTTCGGCATTTTTTGAAGTTCTTCGTTTATTCAATCATGTATCCGTCTCATATTAACCCCCTCTTTTATAAGCCCCCTTCCCTCCCCTTCCTCCCCTTCTTTTTCTCAACTAAAGAAAAATAACACTGCTTGCGCAATGAAATTGCAACCACAAATGATCATACTCGGAAGGGTTTCGGAAAGCAATCAGGCATTGAATGTAATACATGAGGTATTGAATGCACGACGTGACTTTGGAAATATTCTGAACAATACAGATGCGTAACGAAAGAAACAAGTGCGAATGAAGGATTGTCAAATTGAGAATTGATGGGTTGCAAGCATTCCCAAGAGATTCAAAAGACAAGAACATGGCGGCCATTGTGGTACCGTTAACAATGGATGCTAATAAGAAATTTTTCGTTAAATGGTACCAACATGGCCGCGATGACGTAACGTGCAATCGAAGAATATTATTTGAAGGCATCGAATTATGTTCAATCAACTTGAAACTTTAGGGTATACTCCTTCCAAGAAACTTTGTCACCCGTGAAGCGAAAAGCGTATAAACTAGTGGCGCGGGGAGTCATGGGATAGTTTATATTTGACCACGTGCACCCCACACATGGGTCAAAGCAATCATGCCGCGAGTATTAAGTGATGATTCACGGATGAGAAGCGTACTGCTATATGGCTTAAACCACAGTAAAGGTGACATTGTAGTTCGCCTTGGCATGTCTTCAAGGTCCGTGTTACGCTTCGCCCGACGATATTACGAGAGACGAAATGTTTGTGCTGACAAACCAGGAAGACCTGCTGGTTCGTATTCGCTTTCGCAACAAGAACAAGCCGTTTTGATGCAAGAATTGTTAGAACACCCAGAAAAAACTCTATCTGAGCCCCGTAGACACGTTGAAGGAGTATGTGGTGCTAGGCTTTCTGTTTCTACTTTACACGACTATTTTAGAAGAAATGGCATCACTTGCAAAATGGTAATATTAAGTGTTAAATGCATTCTTGTAAGCCGATGAGAAATCTGTAATCATTAATATTGTATTCGAAAATTGCTGCAATTTTTCATTCAATACATTTTACTTTTGGTGTTTATAGCTCAAAAGAATTCCTTATCAAAGATGCGAAGAAGATCGAATAAAGTATTGGTCTGTGCTATCACAATTCAATCCTGCGATGTTTGTGTTCCTTGACGAGTGTGGATTTGTAAGTTCTCCTTTTAGAAACTCATTATATCATACCTTTTTAACTGATCTCCGCACTGGGTTTGTCACACTGACAGAGGTCATAACAAATGTTTCTGCATTACGGGATAAACGAATTTCGAGACGCTTTGGATACAATTTTCGAGGCTATCGAGCTCAAACACAAAGATGGTGTGGCAATTGGGGTCCCAGGATTACTGCTATCCCTGTCATCTGCACGGAAGGAATAATAAACTTGAGTATCCGCCGCGGGAATACTAATGAAGAGAAATTTCTTGAATTTGTGAATGAAAACCTTATTCCTAATCTACAGCCGTTTGATGGGATTAATCCTCGCTCTGTGGGAATACTAATGAAGAGAAATTTCTTGAATTTGTGAATGAAAACCTTATTCCTAATCTACAGCCGTTTGATGGGATTAATCCTCGCTCTGTGGTAGTAATGGGTGAGCACTCACGTCACATCAGATTTTGTTAGTATTTTATTGCAACGCACTAAATTAATGAAGACAATTGCATTATATTTTTACAGATAATGCTAAAATTCACCGCTGTCGTCGTGTAGTTCAAGCTATAAATGCTAGTGGCGCTCTTGTGGTATTCTTGCCATCTTACAGTCCTGACTCCAATCCATGTGAGAACGTTTTCTCTCAAGCAAAGAGTTGGATTCGAGGAAATGATGTTGTGTGGCA